GTGATATTATCTTTATTTTAATATAAAATAAAAAATATTTATTAGTAAAATTGAAAACTTTTATATAAAAAGAAAAATACGTATTTTACTATGTTTAATTAGTAAATTTTGACGTCGTTGCATTATTTCTGATTGCCAATGTATATTCTTTTAATAATTCAGAAAAAAATATCTTTCCTATTATCTGAATCTACCAAATTATCTTCAGATAAATACTATTGCTCTGGACTTTCTGCTGATTATTCTAGAACTTTAATTTCTATAGATTTTAAATTTTTAGTTAATTGTTTAACTTCAGTTAGTATTTTTTTTGATTCCAATTAAATATACAAAAAACTAAAGAAGATAAGCATATTATTTGGAATAAAAGCAATTAATAAAACATAATTTGGATCTGAATATTCTTTTTTAATTTTTATATAAATTAAATATATTTTGCGAGTGATGAGTTTGTCTTGACAATTTGATTTTTTCAGACAATTAATACAGAAATAAAAAATTTTATTAGTTATATTAAAGTAATATTTTTAGAAATATTATAGAAAATATTTTTGTAAAAGAAGAAAATTATTTTTTTTGCAGAAATATTTAAAAAGAAAGAAAGAAACTTGTTTTTATTTATAATTTTAAAAATGCTTAATTTAAAATGTTAATTAAACTTTTTTTACAATTTACAATTATAAATATATATATTTTTTCTGAAATTTATTATTTTTTTATTTTTATGATATATTATAGTAATTAAATGCATTATAGAAATCCAGAAAGTCATGATCTAATATATCTGATTAAATATAACAAATTACTATAATATATTTGGCTAAATAATTATATTACTATAATATAAAAAATAAATTAATAAACTAAATTATTCAATAAAATTAACTATTTGAAATTCCAGATTTTTTTTGATATTTTATCAGATATGAAAAAATCTAATATGATTGATAAATATATTAATTATATCAGATTTTTATTTAAATATTTAGCTAATATATATTAACTATATAAATTATATCAGATTTTTGCTATCAGAATTTTATTAAATATGAAAAAAATTAATATAAATTAACCAAATATTAGATAAAAATCTAATATAATTAATATATTTATTAATTATTTTTATATCTGATGAAATTCTAATAGTAAAAATCTGATGTGATTTATATAGTTGATATTATTATTGTAATAATATAAATTTCTCTAATTTGATAATTTTTTTTTAATTATACAAAATTTTCTTTTTCTTAATTTTTATAATTTATCACTTGATTATCATTATTTTATCTAATCATATAATTATCTCACTTTTATTTTATTACCCTAAATCTTATATTTATATCCTAAATATTATATTTATTCTCTTTTTCTTATTTCTATATATTTTTATCATCCTAAATCTGAGATTTACAATTTTGATCACAAATGTTCTACATTAATATTAATATTTCACATATATAATTATATTTAGTAATACTGCATAAATTAATTAGTTAATACATTTATAGATCATTTCTTTTATATTTCATTTCTTCTTTTATATTTATATTATACGAAAATCTTGATTTTAAAATCTTGATTTCAAAATCTTGATTTCAAAATCTTAATTTCAAAATCTTAATATGAAAATCTTAATCTGAGATTACAAAATATGTATACTAAATAGTATTAATTAGTAATAGTATAGTAATTTTTGTATTTGAAAATATATATAAAAGGACCTGCTCTTTCAAATTGAAATAAATAGTTTTAGTTGACTTGATGATTAGTCACAGATTGAATTATAATTAAAAAGCTTATTATTATAATAATAATAATTTTTTGATTCCTTTTCTAATTATACTAGTACTCTTTCTTTCACTCAGTTTTATTCCTTTGAACATATAAAGTTGATTTTGAATTTTTGTTATAACATTATATTGATTTTGATTTGATATTTTGACTTTGATATTTTGATTTATACTTTTTGATTTTTATATTTTTGATTTTTATATCTTTATAATATTAGTTTTATTTAAATTATTCTTTTTAATTTATACTTTTTAGTATTAGTATTTTTACACTTTAGTTTAGTTTTTTTTTTATTAATAGTGGCTTCACTTATTAATCATTATAAATTTTTATTTTATTCTTTTCTTTATATTTTTATCTCTTTTTTTTAAATCACTTTTGTAATTTAGATCTTTGAACACACAATATTCGTAGATATTGGCATAGGTCTTAGAAACCTTTGCTAATATTTATAATTCATTCTCTTTACTTAAGTTTAATCACTCTTCTCACAACATTATATGCTTATAGTAATTCTTAGTGAAACTCACTATTCAGAATCACTATAACAATATTATCTACCTTTAGTAACAGTTTTTAGTCTCTTTTATCTTTTTAGTTAATAAAAACATGTGATTAATATGTCAAAAACTTAAAGCATATAAAAATAATAACAGATTTTGATGCTCTCTCTATGAAAAAGATAACTTCACACTGTTAAAACTGTATTTGAACAGAGAATTCTCTGTAAATAAAGTATTATATCAAAGAAAATCAGACTTGAATTAAGAATTCTCTGTAAAAGAACAAAACAAAGCATCGATAAACAAATTTTTTTCAATCTGGATCCCACAAATTCAACTGATATTGAAGTTAAAAGATTATTTTAAGAGATAGTTACTGGAGTATTAATAGCAGAACAATATTCTAATAAAGATCTCAAAGTTATTTTTAATAACTTCAAAGCATTTCATAGAGAAATAATTCACGAAAATATATAAACTACAGCAAGAGAAGCATTTGCAGAATTATTAGAAGCAAAAATTGAATTATCTGAACCAGAAGTTCAAACTTTTTTATATCAAATTCAATAAGATATTCACCAATTCTGTCAGCAAAGAGAAGAATACTTGAGAAAGATAGAACAACAAAGAAGAATAACAGTAGAAATCTCCAGTCTAAGAGAATTATCTACTGAAAAAGAACATAAAGAGTTTATTAAAACTGTCAAAATTTTTAACTTAAAAGAATTCAACAAATGGATACCATTCCAAAATATTTTGATCAAGTAATCAAACCAACTAGTCAACAACCAGCTTCATCTTCCAACACTAAACAAAAAGAAAGAATACCAGTAATTATTCAAACTCAAGAAATAAGAATTGGAAGACAAAGAAAATCAACAAGAAGAATTTCTAGAAGAAGAAAATCAAGAAGAAGACCAACCAGAAAGAAACAATAAAATAGCAGATGAAATTGCTGAACAATTTGGAAACTTAATTACCAGACTGAATGTCTTAGTACTCACTATGGGATGTTAAACTATCCGAATTATCAAGTATATTAAAGGTATCTAAAGACATAGTATTAAAAAATATGTTTTCTATAAAAAATGTTCTTTGGAATATTTTGCAATACTATTAATTTTTGATATAATCCTAGCCCTGATCATCCATGCACCACAAAAAACGTGACAGGTTTAATGCAAAAGAATGATGCAAGAAAAATAAAAATCGTTAAAATATTGACTGGTTGTCTCCAAAAAAAAATGAAATTACATTTTATTTAAATAATATTTAACATTTCTTAATAAATCCGCAACAATAATGTGCAATTTTTTTATGGAAATAATAAAGTAAACTATTTACTAGACAACTTTATGACGAACGATAAACAAATTAATGTTTTAGCCTATACATGTATAAACTATTATTAAATCAAAAATACCAAATCGATAAATTACTCCATTTGCGAGCCCCATGCTGACCGATGAAACGGGTCCGTTAAAGCATACCCAAGCTGTATTCCTAAGGCAAATGACATAGTTTTGGGAACAGCATTTCCTAAAATTCAGTATCAATATTCATAGAAAGACGTTTTATTATCAGAAACATTTCAAGATTACAAAGTAAATTCAATATTATAAACAATTCAATAGTGGAAAAAATTACCGATAATTTTATACTGGTCCTCAATCTGACCAATTATAATATCAGAATCGAGAAATCCTGAAATCATAAGATTGATAAATTTAAATAAGAATATATGTCGGTTAAAATCGAATTAAAAACATGCCTTGTGCGCGAGCTGCTTCGCGTACAGTGATTATTCTCGGTTCTTCATAGTGAACCGTATTTGAATTCTATAACAACGTGCCAATTATTAAATAAATAATATAAAATTCCAAATCAACATTTCGAAACTCACGGTCGACGACAGCTCTACAAAAAATAAACAATCAAAAATCAAAAAATATATTAAAAATATAAAATAGAAATTCACTTACTTATATTAGTCGTAATCGTGGAAAAAACACCATCCTTATTAATACGTTGACAAAATGGGGAACCCGTGGAATTCACAATTTGTAGTTCTTCTGGGATCAGTCCACGTTCTAAAGCAGTAAAATAGTCTGCTTTCGGCTCTTTTGGAATTATTTTCATGATTTCTTTGTCGCGGTGATAATTCTTATAAAACGTGTTGATTCTATGATCGGGGAAAGACGGGAACCACAAGACTCCGGTTTGAATACGAGGTAATTTTCCGATTACTCTCTCAATAGTGATCTTTGGAAAACTGATGTATTTTGGCTTGGTGATACCTCTTAAACTATATCGATATAAAAAAATAAGAAATAAATATTCATAATACATGTATCTATTGTTTTCAAAACAATTGTCTAAACTTGCGTTGGTCCTTTAGGCAAGTCAATTGTGTATTGATGGTGTCTATACATTTCTCCCGAGTCGTGGGTAACGGGAGGCAAATCTGGAAGCACAACTTCTTGTTTTGCCCCCCATAAAATTGTTCGGACTCTAGATTGCGGACAGCCAATTTGTTCACCAGACACCAAGCCGAATTTCACTTGGTATCCGATTTCCAGTAAACATGCGATCAATTTGACAAAAACTAAAAAGAATTGGAATTTATTAATTAAAACTCAAATCGAACCAAACCAAAATAAACAACAAAGACACTCACCAGGTTCTTTAATAAAAGGTGCCACATTTTCTAATAACAAATATTTAGGCAAATAATATTCTGCAAACGATGCAAAGGAAGCAATAAGTGAGTTGTTAACTTGACTTTTACTGCTTCCTTTTTGTCTATTCAAGGTGGAGAATCCTTGGCAAGGAGAACCTGCCATAAGAATTTCGACATCTCCCTAAAAAGAGAATTTGTCAGAAATGGGAATGTTCATGATAGTTTAATATATAAATTTTACCCTTTTTGGGATTTTTTTGTTAATATTCTTAACAGCATCCGATAATATTTTGTTAACACTTTCGTGCATGACAACCACATTGTCGTATTTGGCATTTTGCCGGAATGTTTGGCATGCCTCGAAATATTTGTCGAATGCCCTGGTAAATTCATAAAAAGAATATTTCGAATTGATTTATAATTATCTTAAATAAAACCTTTGACAATCATACCATCGACATTCAACAAATCCCGAATCTTCCAATCCTCTGCTTAGAGAACCGCTACCACAAAATAAATCCAGTCCACATAGCTTCGTTTCGTTAGAGACTTTTTGATGATACGGCTTGAATCTAGTGATGATTTGCTCATCTGTAACTAGTTCAATGCTATTCCACCTGAAGCTATATTTTCGCGAAAACCAAAACTTTTATAAAAATAAATGTAATGATTGAAATAAAGTGAAAATGAAAATGAAATGAAATGAAATGAAATTAACACTTGCATGATCTCCGGCTCCAAAATACTGCAGATTAACAGGAAGTGGGTTCCTATTATCGGGATAATAAGCCAGCCAATCTGAATAATTGAAATATTCGACATGGCAAAATCGAATTGGTTTATCAAAATTCTTGAATTCGAAAACGAGTTCCTCAGAATAAAGAAGTTCATTTAGTTCATTTACTCCTCCCCATTTTTCTTCACGAACTTCATGAAAACGAAGAAACCGACGTAACGTAACTGATTTTTTTTGATGATTAAATGCTTCGACACAGGCGATGGTGTAAAATTTTGTCAGCTCTTCAGGGATTGGGTTGATAAGTACACAATCGCCTACTCGGTATTTTTCGACGAACTTATACCAGCCTTCGTCTTCAACATGAAAACAACCACATAGGCGATTGAGTCGAGTTAAGTACTCTTCAGAGAGCGCAAGAAAATCGCCTTCCATATGTCGGTAATAATAACGACAAAAATAATGATTTTCTTTGGCTATAATTCAAAATAAATTAAATTAATTCAAATTTTCATTTCTTTGAAATAAGTAATAATAATAATAATAATAATAATAATAATATATATTTCCCTGAGCAAGAAGAGGCAAAAAAATTCACATCGACTTTTCTTTTGATGTGTTCATATTTCCCTTGTTGTTGACATTCACCATGTCTGGTAAAAAATAATTCTTGATTCGCTTGAGGATGCGAATCTTGGTCTAAATTCTTCAATAAGGTCTGGTTTCGTGTATAAAGCCACAAGAGCTTAAACCCTTCGGTTTTTAATTCAGTCAGGATGCTGCAGAGAAAAATTAAATTTACTAAAATCAAATATTTTATGAAAAACTAGTACATGTATATAAAAAATTACCAAATTAACGGTTCATCATCAGCTTCATCTTCGTCTGGGTATACTTCGACCGTGTCGCCGACTGCAAAGGAGATTCCGTCCAACATAACTGTCTCCTTTTCGAGAAAAATGAATTGCGTACATTTATTGTGGCTTAAAATTCGAAATTCGGATTTTTCGTTGGAATTTTTAACATCTAATGTTGGTGGCGCTTGTGTAGATTGCGAGCTTTGGTTGTTGATATTTTGGGTTACTGGAAAGGATATATTTATAATTGAAAATTAAGTCAATTAGTAATAAACCGGTTAGTCTGAAATTGCAAAAGTTTACCCAGAAATAATCGACCGGGAAAGACATCTTTGAACCAGCGAAAAACCGTTGGCGTGACAAAGGTTTTTTCGTGTTGTTTTTGAGATTCGGTCTATATGATAGAAAATTTAAATAAAAAAAACCTTTTAAAAATCGAAATCGCAGAAAATTACCTTCAAGCTCGCTTCTTCTAACTGATTTTTAGCGTGACCGATATCTTGAATGAAATACATAAAAGCCAAAAAGTACATTAGTAACTATACAATAAACCGGAATGAGCCGCCCAATTAGAGTCAAAATTCCTAAAATCCGGTTAGTTATAGACCCCAGTCCCGTTTTATCGAGATTCCGGCTTCTCGAAGATTCACTGTGTATCAAAAATTACCTCGGAAAAATGTAAGTCTCAACAAAACCTCAGCATTCAAATTCTTTGCTTGATTATGCAAGAAATGACCACAGGTATTTACGACACCACGAAAATCAGTCTTGCCCTGCATCCAAGACAACCACCAGCGAAATTCTTTATCGTGATTCCATTTCTCGGTCACCCATTCATAAAAATTTTCTTTAAAATCCATTAGCAAAATATCCGCGCGAACATCCGCCCATGAAAAAATGTGTTTGGCGAAGATCGCTTTCCAGAGGAATGCATTATATAACGAATCGTATATCTTTGCTGCTGAAAATAACCAATACCAGACATTTTTGTCGAGCGTCGATCGCAGCAAGATCCTTACGTTGTGAGAATCGTCTCGATACTGGATTGATATTTCGTCGAATCGAGCCTAAAATGTTGAATTAGTTCATGGCTAAACTTTAATTTATTGATGCAAGAACATTGTTTTAAATACGATAAAGGAAATTACCTCTTTGACAAAAACTTGATTATCTTCCCTAGGAATCGAAATAACCGCATCCCAAAATAAAGTAGTAGTTCTATTCGTTTCTTGTAAGTCATAAATATTTGTCAACTAAAACAAAATAATACTTTGAATATTAAAAAAAAACAAATAAAATATGAAAAATAGAGGTTATTATCATTACGTCTCCATGTTCATTGTAAATCACAAATTCTGTTAATTCAAAATCCTTTTTTGGAGCATAGTCCTCAATTAATTGCTGTTCGTTCATTTCTAAGCTTTGCGGACTATTATTATTATTATTATTGTTATTCTACTCGAATTTGAATAGAATGATTTATAGAGTCAATTTTTCATTCGATAAATTGATGAACAAAACAAAAAAGAAACTACGTAGCGTTTAATTTTTCATACCATATTTAGAGAATAGGAAAAGTATTTAAAAATAACTAAATAAGAACGATATAAGACAGCTGTTATATACTATTTTTTTGTGGGGAAAAACAATAAAATAAACTCATTCATACGTAATTTGGTTGAGTCAGCACGAAAAGTATATTTTTCACATATGATTTTATTTTTTTTATTGACGTCAACAACTAATTAGACTTACACCTGACAACAGAAGGCTTCTGCGAATTCCTAAATTTAATTTAAAAGTTTGTCTATTATTTTGCAAAAATAATAATGTTTATACGTGTTACATATTGGATTTCTCCAAAAACCAAATCCATAAATCAAAAATAGTTTTGATTCGGTATATGCTCGAAAGCGGGGCTTTTAAATTCAGTCCATTTAAAAAGATTGATCACGGAAACTTTCTGGTACATTGTTGTTTTCTTTTATTATTTCTTCTCCATCTGCATAACAGAAAGAAAATTTATATTGCGCTTCAGGATTTCCAGACTCTGCTATTTTGAATGTCATTTAAATACTTTTGATTGTTCCTTTTCCATTATCATAAGAGTGCAAGATTAACTTGTGTTTCGGGTCTTCAGACTGCCAATTTTTATCGTTATCCGATGTACATGTATATCGCTTACAACCTTTGTCAACATGAATACCCATCCGATAAATAAAGCCAAGTATATTTTATTACCTTCTAAACTTTGAAAATATTACTGAAGAGTTTGGTTTTTGATTTCATTTCCGCTAGATAAATATCATTTTTACTTATCCTTTCTGTATTTAGTAGGTTCTCTTTAGGTTGACTGATTATTTTCCAAACCACCATTATTGAAGAATGCGATATCGTGCTCGTTGTTGCCATTTGTCTTTGTAGATATAGATGAAGACGAAGAGATTGAAGTAACTTTAGCTTGCTCTTGACAGATTTTTTCAATTGATATATTTTTTTGTTAATTTCAGACATTTTTATTATTTGAAAAAACCATTTACGAGAACGCTTTTGATTTTAAACAAGTTTTTCTTCCGCACAAAGAAACCATTTTTAGTTAGGTTCTACAAAAACATGCAAAATTCAAAATTCATGTACATATACTCACATCAAATACATGTGATCTAACTTTGAGGAAACTACGTACATGTACGATCCTGTACTGTATTGGAAAAGGGTTAAGGTATGGGTTCGGAATATAGGTTATCGTACAATTTATGCTATAACCCTCTGAATTTCATGATTGTCAGAAAATGATTATGGATACCCAGATTATCAATATCAACTTTATAAAGTTGAATGGTTTAGTTACAGTGAATATTTGATAATTTAATAAAAAAAAGTATGCAAGAAAATTAAAAGTTCCTTTGAATGAATCTTTTGAAAAAATTACTAACGTTGAAGCAATTTATAAAGCATGATTGCATAAATACGAGTGGGTTCATGGAAAAATAAATATAAACGATTTAAAGAACATAAAGTTGTGTTGAAATTGCTACGTTATTCAAAGCAAATTACATCAGAGTTTCTAATACAATCAAGTTTCTCAAAAATAGATTCAGGCTGCATCTATAACCTTAATTATTATGAAATAACTAAAAAAAACAGCTACAAGATTATCAGCAGATGATGAATATTATTCTGGATACAATATTAGTAGAGGGCTGAGAGCAATTCACAAAGAGGAATTCGTGCGTTGTGTGTGACTTTCACCCTGGAAATTTATTAATTTATTAATATTTTCCGGCCCAGCAGATATAACGATAAAGATATAAATAACACTAATCAAGAGATTTATTTAGTACCTTCTTATGTCGATATTAGTCCAGAGATGCTAAATATATTATTTACTGCTTTAGGATAATTATGTATGAGATTGTAACAGGCGAACAATCATTTAGCGAGCGGAATCATAATATATATCTTGTATACGAAATCTATAATGGAATACGACCAAATAATATTCCCAGACGGTGCGAATTTATTATTGAAATGTTAGGAGCCTATTCCAAACAGACTAACTGCCGAAAAACTATAACACTTTTTCGACTCTATCTATTATCTCGAAGTTACCATTGTGTACAATTCGAAAACTTTGCATTTTCAGTACTACTGCTCTTTTTAGAATATCCTAAACATACGAAGAAATTAAAGGATGTCTTTAATAAGGTGATGAAATTGTAAGAAAATGTTCTCACAGATATAAAAAATCCACACAAGTAAAAATTTTATTTTAAATATTTCAAATGATATCGATATACGTACATGTAGACACAATATTATTATCGTTACTGAACATGTACGTATTCAGATGTTGCTAATACATGTAATTTCTCTGAAGCCAATTATGCGTTATGTCATATTCAATTCGCAAATATTTATCCATCTTGATTTCGGTGATAGAACAGCTCCAAGTCCAATGACAGAAGCATTAATAAATAGAATTGCAGGGTAAGTAAAATTGGTTAAAGTCGACGACACTTTAATGTAAATAGATATTAAAGTAAAACGCTTACTAATGATAATTCGCTTTAGCGTAAATTGTGAAATAAAATTTCTATTTGTATACGTAACAGCAGAAAGTATTAAATAGTATAAACTTTCAAACATTGAATGAGCAGTTAATAATTGAAATGAGAACAAACCTGATAAAGTTGTAAAATATAAAGTAAAATACACATTTCCTTTTTTTTTGCAATTAATGAATATCAAAAATCTTGTATTTGTTAATTCAGAATGTTCTGCTAACAATAATGCATATTTTTAATGACCAATCCAATAATTAGCTTATTTACACCACTATCCATAATACCGTTACTATCAAATTCTATCTTGTATATACACTTCAAAAAATAAATGTCAAGTCATCCATTTAGCCACCAACGTGACCTCAACTTGATCACGCATCCACAGCATATTATTCATCCAACAGTTGTTATTTGCAACGCGACGCAATTTTTCCTGTCTTACCAAAAAATTAATAAATGTCAAATTTTTTTCCTGTTTCAAAAGCTCATCATCCAATTCAGTCATTGTACAGCTATGAAAATAAGCGACTGTGTCATCGTCCGATAAATCGAGACCCGTGATTTTGGAAACTTGTTCTTTAAATTCTTGAAGGGAAATTGTTCGTGGCACGACAAGTTTGAGGTCGAGAAATGGTGCACAGAGTAAGTGGGTTGTAAGTGAGATTGTAGATGAGAATTGTGGGCGTGCATCATTGTGGTTGGTTTGATGAGTTTGTGTGGTTATTAAAGTTGATGATGAAGGAGAATTGGGTGGCGTTGGAAGAAATGGCAAAGGTTTAGTTGTCGTTGTAGTTTGCGAGTTTGAACAATCAGATTTAGATGGAGAATTTGGTTTCGCTCGCTTGAAACGAATATTGTTTAATTTCTCAAAGGTTTTTTTTGAAGTGGATTCTGATGATTTACTACTATTACTGTCTTCACTTCGAGTGCTCGAGGTCGATTTAGATCTTTTTAAGAGACTTTGAGGAGAAACCATCTCGAGAGCATTGAAAAGTGCTTTACTGGGTGAGATCGGAGAATTAAAATTAAAACCTTTACGATTTTGTGGCTCCATTTTACATTTTATTATATAATGGTTAATATATTCTATTTTTTTTTTATTTTGAGCAACCGGCGTCTTTTGAATTAACACGTTTTCGTAATGGTCAGTATCTTATTTATACAAGTGTGTTCCATAAAATAAATTAATATATATCATTATTTTAATATAACGAGGTTAACTTTTGTTCTTTCTTTATCGTGCAAGCGGAGCAATCTTTCTAACATTGTTCTAAACTCCTCAATTTTCTATAAAAAGTAAATAAACTAATCGTCATTGTTAACCGTGATTGATTGATTGATTTATTGATTGATTGATTGATTTGGTTGATTTATTCTTATATTTTATTCGAGTAGATAGTTATTAGGTTTTTAAGTAGATGATAATGCACACGATTTATCATATAGTTTGAATTCTTTTTATTATGTTGATAAAAGATAGATGATAATACTGATACGACAGAATTTTAAATAATTATGGTATATAGAACATTTATCTTTGTATCGGTACGTATACATATTTTGTGCAGCTTAGGATTATTATCGTTATAAATTTCTTTTTTATCATGTTAAAGCAAGCCGTAATTGAAGTACATTTTGTTCCATGAGAAGCAGATTTCGGGGATTCTTTGAATTTTCGATTTGTTTGAATTTCCCGTATCCTAGTTCACGAATCGCATTATTGATTCGGATTAATTTTGAATTTCACGTAATCACAGCAACGATTACTTAATCGTTTGAAACCAAAATATAAAAGTAGATTGACTTTTCTGTGTTATTCCGAGTATCGGTATTTATAAAAAATTACTGTATACGTATATATATATATATATATATATTATGTGCTGTCAGAACAATACTCTATATAAATAATTAAATAAATACGTAGACAATAACATATAAATACACACAATGACTACCTACCCATATTCGTCTAACGATTACATTAGAACCCAATTCTAAACTCATCAAATTCAAAACCGCTTTTGTTAATCAATTATTGCCTGACCATCATCTTTGTATGTGTATACAGGATAATATCGAGATGTATGCAGATAGGATGCATTGCCGCGCGTCACTTGACGAGTGATTGAATTTGTGGATTGATTAGTTTGAAACCGCGATTTTGAATTTGTCAGGGTATTGGTATTTACCAAAATTGAATAAATAAGCGAGTTGTTTTGAGCACCCATTTTGCCTGACTAACTAAGCATTCAACTATTTTTCCATTTAAACAAAGAGGTATTTATCGTATCGTAATTAATAAATATGAGTTCTCCACCACCACCATCAACGACGTCTCGTAAATTTTCCGTATTCAATAAAAAATTTTCCAACGAGGAATTTCAAGAATTCTATCATCACCAAAGCTGTGCTTTGTTTTCTACTTCAACAATAGCAACAACAAAAACAACCAGTGCTCTTCCTCTACTCGATGGTGATCAATTTTGGCCTAGCTCTACCCCATCGCCGATCTCATCGTCGTCAGCCTCGTCACCTGCGTATATTAACAAAAAATCACACTATTCATACAACGATGCGATTCCACTTTCTACTATTCCTCGCGAAAATCAAACTTATTCATTTTCTGCTCCTGTCTCACCAGTAGCATCACCAAATGAGCGAATATCGAAACCTTCCAGCCCTGCCAAAAAATTCTTTGGCAAGATTGTGAAAAAACTTAATCCACAAGATCTCTTACGTAAACGACGTGGTTCTGACTCAAGTCAGACTAGTGTCGAATCTCCTGGGTCAAGCGAAAGTTACGAAGGTTCTGATGGATTTCCATTTGATCAACCACCAATAACAACATCAGTTCCCCTCATAACCGATAATTATCGATCTACTTTTCATTGTGACGAGATTTCTACATCAAATAAACAATATAAATGTTATAAAAAGCGATCACAAAAGAAAAAACGCATTCACAAACAAGAAAGGGCGGCAATTTCAACTTTGTCACTTCTTGATAATATCATAATCTCACCAAATCCGCTTGCTCGCTCCAAACACCATAGTTTCTCTTATCCACCCCATCTTCTAGCTCACCCTTTTCTCAGTCCAGACGAGAAAACAATGTGCACAGTTCGTGCAATAAACTTTTCCGTAAATATTTACTGGGCTTGGCCGGGAACTTTGTATCTTTCGCTCCCACGTACAACATCACTCTGTCAATTTAAATATTCAGTATCACGTGAACTGGGATATTTATTACCAAAAGACGCACTAATTTTGTGCCATACCCGAAGATCCCGATCTGGTAAATCACGTGGAATGAGACGAACGAACGGCTACAGCAACGACAGTAGCAGCAGCGGCAGGAACACGCTGTTACATTATTTGCTGACAAATAGCAGAGTGAAGATGGTTGACTCGGATGTGGTCTGGGGTATATGTATGTTATTATGGCCAGAAGATGTGGAATTGACTATTATAGTGAAATCGGCGTGTATCGGTATGATATCTCGCTAAATTAATTAATATCATGGATTTTTTGATTGTATCTTTTTTCAAACCAATAACATAGTATTAGAAGTTATGATCAAATTGGAATTATTATTTATTATTCGTATGTATATTTCAAATGTACAGCAATGAAAAAGTAATACAGTATATACGTAATTATAAATAAAAGGAATTGATAATACATGTATAAAGGAGATATCATTTGAACATTGAAGAAAATTGCTTATTAACCATTTCAGGTGTGGTTTCATAAATGGCACGAGTTAATTGCCACACGTGTACAGGTGGGACTGAAAGATGATACATGTGCGTGTATATTACAGAAGTAATGATGGCCAGTTTTTTATTATATTTCATTCAATTATACAATGAAATTAAAAAAATTTATTTTGATAGTGCCATTGAGTAGGGCATTATGCCCCTAAAATATCAGTACTTTATGTGATCTCTTTCCGTGTCAATGCAAGTTTGAATAAAATTTAATTGTCTAAAAATTTTGTAATTAGAACGTTTTTTAACTAAAAAAAAAAAAACTAAAAATCGCAATAATTCGATAAATATTGTTCTGAAATTACATGTACTACCAAAATGTTTGTCTTATTGAGACAAATTACGTAATTATAAAATTCTGATTACGTATTGTTATTGAGAAAATAACGATAAGTTTTAAAAATTTCACAAACATGCAGTCGGGAAAATGACTTGCCATGATGCGCTCCTATTAGATTTTCGCAAATTCATCACATTTTTATTTTTTTTAATTGTAATTATCTTGCTAGAGATCTGGCACTTTATTTAAATATTTTGCTTCTATAAAAATGCTAGTATTATAGTAACATTCACATAACAATCTCACCGCCATTACTTTCCGCCGGAACTGTAGACATCTAATTGTCAATATTAAACAGAAAATTTCATAATTATTCTCCAAACTACGTAATAGCTTTATAAGTATGTTATAAAATCATATTTTATAAAAACTAAAATGTGAAATTATATATTTATATTTAAACTATCGAATAATATAACTTTATTATAGATTGTTATGAAAATTAGTTATCGAGACAATTTCTGATCCAGATAAAAACAAACTCAAATATTTAATCAAGGAATTAAAAATTTTGATTTATTATAGAAATGATCTTTTTTAGATTTATATAATACATGTACATATAATGAAATTTGTAACAAAACATGTACAAGACAAGAATGCATAACGATAAGAAAAGTACATGTATTATTTCAATTATTTAAAGTGAAATCTCACATATATCCTTACCAAACTCATAAAATCTATGGTCCCTGAGGAAAAGGTGCACTTAGAATGGTTCACTATAATATATTTCTAAAATTTATTAAATAAATCTAAAATTCTACAATTACTTATAATTGTAATTGATTCTTTATCATTATTGTCAATTTTAAAGGTGAGACTGCAATAGCATGTTGCAATAGGTTATAATTAAGACAGCATCATCTTTGTCGAGTACACATATAATAGAAAAAAAGAGAAATTGGAAACAAAAAACAGAAATTTACTTCATTTTGTTGATAAACTAATTTTTATGATTTTTATTCTTTCATATACAATATATGCAAAAAGTTCCTAAGACCATTTTTTTATACGTATAATGTTCTTTCTAACGTCATTACTGGTTTTTCTTTCACTAAATAATTAAAATATTGATTTGATTATTTCATTCTATCTGACTTATTTCAAGAAAACTAGTTACATAACATCAAATTTGATTTTTCATATACCGATACTGTATCTTTGGAAGTTTAAAGATGTGTGATGCCAATTTATGCTTTTGCATATGTTAAGTCCATTTGTTGGATGTTAACGATAGCGATAAGTTTGCGATAAGAGATTAAAGATTTAGAATCGAAGATCATATACGTATTGGTATCATTTAAATAAGTAAGATCGAGCGAGATAATGCACTTTTCCGGTCTTTGGCGCCGTTCAGTTATCGTGAATTTGAAGTCAAAATCATACAGTTTGTCATTATAATAATACCGATAATGCAGCGTTAAGAAAAATTCATATCAAAATAAATAAATGTTCTAATTAAAAATTTACATAATATTCATCGTAAAATATCTATAAATGTTGTATCAACAAGTTCGTAACCGTCGCATCACCTGAAAAACTTCATACTCTTCAACCGAAAACCGATCCAAACTCGTTATCGTTTTCTCATACGATTGAATATTCGACGAACACGCCAAATCCATATCGAAATCACTTCTTGCCCCACCCATAACCAAATCTCCACTCCCAAAACAAGCGCCAATCATCTGCGAGCATAAAATAGCACGACTCGGATCAACTATACGACTCAGCACTGATTTATGCAAGCCCATACCATCGTCAAACGAGAAAATAAAACAGTATCGTGAATTTACCCACATATTTTTCGATGACCATCCGATCGGATTGTAGCCGCCGATTAATTGTCCACTTCCACGTATTTTCATTACTACTATCGTGGCGTCTTTGCTGTCACATTTATTGTGAAATGCGCCCGGTGAGAAACCATCACGCGTCCCCCGTAATAAAAGTTTCAACTGGTATGGTATCACTCGAAAATCGTGGACGATGTTTCCGTCCTTGAATGGATTATCATCTTTTCGACCTATCCAAGTAGATAGAATTCCTAAATGTCTTGTGTTTATCAGTACGGAATTAATTGATCCATTACGTGGGACCATTTGTGGTGCAATTGTCACAGCAGAAGGTATTGTTGGTTTAGGGATCGGGCTCTTTGGAGAAAACTTATTTTCAAGTTCCGTGTACAATTTTATTGGTAGAATTTGTTTATACGGTTTCACTTGTTGTGTGAACTGTGCTGAATTAAACTGTGAAAATCCAATAAATGGAATCAAATTCTGCAATTTCGTCTCAAGCGTCTTGAAATGTTCATCCGTCCAAATCTCAGGATCAGAATACGAAATTCCAGCATGCGAAATTCCCCATCCTAACAAATAGTTCCATAGATCAATTTCACTCATCTCCAAATCACTACGATTCAATAACGCCACGAGAATATTCTCGTTTACGAAATTTATATAATCTGCATTGAAAAATTGCACCGGATCTTTGCACAACAAGTCCACGCAATGTTTTTGTAATAGTTTGAAGCTTTCATATTGGAATGCAGTCGTGATGACAATTATGAAATTTTCAAGAATCCATTTCGAACAATACGTAATTAAATGTTCTTGTATGTAGTCAAAAAGATCAGTTAGAAATAATTCATCTACTGCTATTAGTAGATCGTATATTTCGTAGTCGTCGTGATCGTTTAATGAGACAGTTCCAGTGTAAATATATCTTTGGAAATAAAGATTAAAATAAATTATAAAAACCATACTATTTTTAAGAAAATGATACTACCTTAATATTATAGAAAAAACACTCGGTGAAATATTCGGTTTCTTAAAAGAGATCATCCCATTTTCTGGCAAAAATTTTGACCATTTTGGTGACAATGCGGCACGAAAATATGAACATCTTGCTTTTAAGACATTAGCATGTGCTTTGAATGTTTCTACGTTTGGCTTTTCCCCTACTTCAATTATAACATTATAGTCGTCGTCAGCTTCTTCGAGCATTTGACCGAAATCCCGGCACAATATCGTTAAATATTTTGAAGACATCATTATAACGGAATAAAAATTAGTATCGTCAAATCGTTGGGGGAATGAAGGATGATGATGTTATTGTTGTTATCTGAATGAATAAATTTGTTATATAAAGGGGGGAAAATGACATGCACAACAACCTGATTAAAATCAGGTGAACTGTTGTGGTTATTGATGCAGATACACGTAATGCGTACATGTATAGTCGATATCAACATATACGTGTACATGTCATTTTGACTGAATTCTCTTTATTTCCATCATCAAGAAAGCTTGTTTTGTTTGCTACTACTAATACAATATGAGAATGAGTGATTCTTTCATACAGTATACGTATATCGTAGCATTGTGTTTCAAGTATCAACCGTAAATGCATATTTATACTGTTGAAGAAGATTGTTTACATAGTACTGTATATTAATGGTTGAAATTGATTAAAGATATTTTGTCATTTTTTTTATTGTATTTATCTCGACTTTTGAGTTGTTGTATAATTTAATATATAAATAAAATATTTCAAGAGATATGCCAGCTTTAAGTACATGTACAAACTTCCAATTCTATTATTCAATATATAGCATTAACAAAAATGATCAAATCACGGCACCCATCACATTAACACCAAAATAGGCACCAAGCAAAAAACGCTTGCGGCATAAATAAAGCAAAAATTTCCATATATAGAAAAAAGCTCGATTAGCTTAACTGGCTAAAGCGCCAGGCAGTAACTTATAACCTAAGGTTCGAACCCAAGATATAAGATTGAAGTTCTTCGGTACGGTTCGCGGTTGAACTCTTGGGATTAAGATTGTAAGTACTCCTGGAGATGTGGAGTTCGAGTCCCACATCGAGCAACTAAATAATATTTTCGTTTTGAATTTGACAGTCACTTTTACTATTATAATTATTAAAGAGGTACTTTTTTTACAAGAATAGCATTGCATTGTATTGTATTGTCAGTAGACGAAGTCGCATAAATTTTAGAATTCCATTTTGCGTACATTCCGTAATTTATTAGTTTCCCAGCAAATAAAGCAATATTGAAAGTTTCAGTACTCCTATGCAATCATAATTTATTACTATTTTCACTATTATTGAGAATTAAAAACAGTATAGAAATCCACTAATGATCATTTCTCATTACAGTACGACCACGCTCAGTATTTCCTCTGGCCATTTGATAAGTACCCTCTTCCCACTTCATGTCAATAAGGCCCAACACACCCAACAAGTACACGGCAACTTTCAAGGCGATAAAAGTTCCACTAGCAAACAATCCACCAATTGATGCCACAAACAACAAAAACCCAACAACAGGAAAGAACACCAATCCACCCAAAAACGCAAAGAATCCTTCCGCCATAAAAATTCCAATTCCGGCAATTCCCACAACAATGGCACAAGTGAGCACAATCCACCCAACCAACACGACAGCTGGAATAAAGGTAAATGTGCCGGCGATAAACAAAAACCAACGAAAGAATGGGCTGTAGTGCCATATGTGCAACACAATTTTCAGCACTGATTGTACGAGTTCACGTGGATTGGTCGTGAGGATTTTTAGAGCGTTTGCTGTGGTGCCAGTTATGCGTTTGACTTTATCGACCACAGTATTGGATTGATGTTTGACTGTTTCGATCACTTTGGAGGTCGTGGCTTCGACACGTGATTCGACATCCGATTTACGTAAGCCGGTAAGTGGAGATGTTTCTTCGGCCATTATTTTATTTGTATTGTCAGTATTGTTAAGGGTATGGAAATAAGTTGCAAAATTTGAACGAAAAAAATTTCGGCAAAACACACACACACAATGTGTCTTTTTCGAGGATGGGAATTGTATTTTTATATATTGTTTGAAGCAATATAAACTTACTAAAACCAGCCACACGATTTAAATCATCATGATTAAATAAACGTTCAAAATGTAATCATTTTTCAATCAAATTCGTTATTTTAGAGAAAAATTGTTAATCTTTCAATATAACAAACTTAAATAATAAATTACATGTTATTTTTTGTCGTCAACAAATTATTATTTATCGGCCTTCTTGTTCAGCCACTGGCAATTCCACCTCTTCCTCATTAACGTCACCGTGGACATTCACATCAGTAACTTCCCGTGAAACTAAAATGATACTATTATTACTTTCTTCCCAATCATTCCGATTATACTGTCGAAAGAAAAACAGCATCGCACACCCAGAAATAAAAGTCATGAATGCTAGAATGGCGTACACGTAGATTGTGTACGGATCTTTTGATAGTGGGATTATGGTGAATCCGAGAGCTGCACCGAGACCTGTTGTTCCGAGATATAATGCTACCACTATTGATTTCATTGAAGCTGGAGCCTGGATAAAAATTCATTAATTTCACTTTAGCTGCAAGCCGAAGATAATAAAAGAATAAAAAAACCACCTTTTGAAATGCGAATTCAAGGGCAGATACACATGCAAAAGCTATAGGAAAATAATGGATTCTTATCGATAAATGGTAATTTTAGGCTTATTAAAAATTCAGAGAGCATTAATCCAGTCAGGGTAGTAATAATACCTTCAGAGGTGGCAGTGAGAATATAAGTGGGAGTCTGCCACCAAATACTGATATTATTGGGCACAGTCTTTCCGTCAACAGTACAATGTGTCCGCTCATAACAAGGTCCTGTATTATAAATGCCCAACTGAACTACCGCACTATAAGTCATCGCCAGTGTCGAAAACATGAATCCAATAAACATTCTCGTTATCGGACCAAACAAAATTTTCCGTTTCCTTAACGCGGGATAAAACCATCGATCGAGAATCGGGATCAAAATAATCAAAGTGATCGGGTCGATATTGCTCATAATATCGTTTGGGATGACACCAGTTTGCATTGTTGCACCCTGTGAGATTAGGTTGGTATGTAGTTGGTTGTAGGCGGCCCAGTATACCGGATAGAATATGAATACTTGGCATGCATTTACAGTGGATCGTAATTCATCGATGAATTCGTCATTGTATTTTATTTTGCGGCGTTGTCGTTCAAGTGAGGTCATCTGTGAAGGACGAGCTTTATCCAAGTTCCGCCCATTTGCTAATGCAATTCGGAAAGCTCTTGCCGCGTCGATAACGATTGATCCTTTTGGAGGCGTTTGTATATATTGATATCTTCCATGGAAAAATATCGAGATTGCAATCACAAAAACAATGAGTGGAATCAAATAAGCTAACCAAAAAGAATGATATTTTTCAACATTTGTTGTGATTATCGACGACAGCGCTCCAATATTTATTGCGAGATAAAACCAATGAAATATCGACTGTACTGTAAGTTTTGGATCTACTACAACTTTCTCCCCCGTCTCCAATGTCTTTAAATAAGCTTTCTTTTGATGATACTGTTCCGCCACCATCGACGAAACATTAGACTTTATCCCTCCTGCCCCAAATCCTATTATGATTAATGCAAGGACTAGTCCTGGCAATGCGGCTCCAGCATCAACTGACGCTGGCAACGCTGAGAAAGTCAACACCGATAATCCAACCATGTAAACAAAGCTTGAAAATAATATTGTCTTGTATTTTCCGATATATCTATCGGCGATTATCGCACCCAGAATTGGCGTCAGGTAACAAAAGAAACTAAAGAAAAGAGCAAGTGCTGTTGCCACACGCTGTCCTTTTCCTAGTGCGCCGGATTGGTCTCCCGGGTGTTTGGGTTTTGGGAATTGTATATAGTTTTGGAATGGTCCAGATACACCGTAATATGTGAATCTTTCACATAGTTCGCATAGAACTATGTACCAAGCGGCTAGAATAGAGATGAATGAGTCTTCGGATTTTTAGGATTTCTAATAGTTGAAGAAACTTACCTGTTGGAATTCGATCACCTACTCTTTGAAAAGTCTCATAATCTATATTATCCTCGTTACCCATATTAGCATTATCCATTCCTCGTCTTTCCAATGGCACTTGTTCGTCCAGTACGAACTCTATTTCACTATTTTTCCCAGAATCACAAGTATTATCATTGTCATTGGTTATTTATTATGCTTTTTTCATTTCATGAATTTAAACTTATAATTTACCTTTCATCATTATTTATTGTACTTTTTAAAAATAACATTTGTGCATTTTTTATTTCGTGAATTTAAAATTATCTACACACACTAAAAAAGTTTGAAAATAATTTACCTATCACCAACGCTTCCAGAAAGTTTTGCATACCGCCAATAATGAAGTAATCGTAGTGTCTGATTTTTTAAAAGTTCCATCGTCATTTCTTTTCCCGGAATAAATATTTTTGCACAATCGAGATGATTGATTTTTAGTATGGAACATTAATAATTTTTGCGGTTGTGCATTGTGGCTGTCACAAATACAGTATGAGAATTAGATTCAGAATTGAAAATCTCGATCGAGTAAATAATTCAGCATCGCGACCCGATTCAAGATTTAAACAAAATGATTTTATTAGAACTCCTATAAAAAAGAACTACTGTGCTATAAAATATTTAAATATACAGAAGTTTCGACTTAGCAAACAACGTGACCTCAACATTCTCATTCCAATGCATCATCTCTGTAGTCCAATTTTTCCTGGCAATTTCTCTTAACTTACCTTTGCCACAAAGAAAATGAACTACTTCCGAATTGTCATAAAGGTCTTTTTTTTCCTTATCACTCAATTCCTCATGATGATACAAGATGACCAAGTCTTTCGGCATCGGATAGCCCAAAATCATTGAGACCTTACAATCGAATGACTTAAAGGTGGCGTCACGTGGTAGAGTTATGTTTATGGCTTTTTTAGTCCAATAAACGTTGGATTTAAATGAGACTGTCAAAGCGCCGGAAGGTGCATTTGAGAAGGGCAGCTTTTTGTGTGATTTTATGAGTGTATAATTGCTTCTCTTTAATTTTGTCACGGTGCGAAAGGGTGATACTCTTGAGATTAAGTTTTTAAAGAGAGAAGAGGGGTGATCGCTAACAGGCCAGAAATCGATCGAGTTTGGATTATCCTTTTTTCTTGTGTCATGGTACATGCACGAACATGTATTTGATTTTTGTGTCGACATCATTAATTTTTTGATCGTCAAGAGATGAAGACTGCTGCTTTCGTCGCTGGACTTCCATTTTTATAATATACATGTGCATTGTGAATTTGTGAAATTTAACCCTTCAAGATTTCTAGTTCTTAACGCATCAATGAATAAATGCCATTATGCATTGATTTCACACTATCGCTATGTATTGTATATGTATATGGATTTGCATTTGCATTTACATTTATGCATGTATTTATTATAGAACTGTGTTCTAAACTCATCAGAGGTGTATGTACTATGATTTGGCGTTATTATTTCGATTAATAGTTGGTCTTACTTTTCACAAGAAGATAATGAAGTATTACATTTAACAATCTAATCCCGAGCGATGATATATCGATATGCAAGCATGATACAAGAAAATTGGGTTAATCACACATTGATTATACGGAGGTAAGACTGTACAATCTTTCATTTTTCGAATTTAGTTTTAAACACCGTTGCAAATTTATCAGCTATTGAAAACGAATTAACATACAGTAGAATATAAACAAAATTATACGAAAAGCCATCCTTTACTAATGTTACTGTGACTAATCAAAACTTCGGTTCATTCAGCGATCTTGGTCATATTTTCTTGGTGCTTGTTCCGGTTTAAGTTGAGCGAGAAGGAAATAAATTGTTCACGCATGAAAAACCAAACATCACTCCAAAACATCTTCCGGATTTATTTATTTATTTTTACTAAATACATAACGATAACGCGGTGTGATCGATTGTGGTCCACAGACTTGCCAGATAAATGCGACGACAATAATTAGAAAGCTTGAATTTTTTTGAATTCACGGTAACACAGAGAATCTTTTTGAGACAGAAGTGGTGCACTAAAAACAGATTCTTGGCCTTTTTATTTGCTTAAATCACTGGTTCTATCATTGTTAACTTTTGCAGATTTTCCTAAAAATACATTCGATTAAGGGAAGAGGAAATTTGTTTCTTCCCCACTAAAACAAATATTCCCATTCAAGTTCTTTTATCGTTATCGTTATACATGTATATTGCATCAATTCTGGTGATGTCATTGAATTTAAGGATATTGATGTGTATTTTTCAAGTAATGCATAACGCTATCGCTATTTTTCTTTAACGTAGCGTAATATGCACACATTGATAATAAAGCTCAAAATTTGAACGCACCAGTCATCATACTTTGCTGGTGCATTATCTGGTATTAGAGAACGGATCAATTGATAAAGCTAAGCCAAATTAAACCAAGTATAAATATAATAATTTTGCAAAAGCTGAATTCTATTGGCTTAAAAATTCGGAACAACCTCCTGTCTTTTGGAATCCAAACCATGTTGGTTGAGTGATATTTTTAAAGGACACCATGAACAACGATGATGGAATATTTTTCCGTGATGATTCATTTAAAAATCTTGTAGTACATCGCACAAATCCAACTGGGAGAAATTGTAATTTGCGATAAAAAGAATGGGGAATCGCAGTTTAACGTTAACTGAAATCAAATGAACCCATGTATTTTTGAATAAATGTTTGCACGTATGCATCATTCTTTCTGCAAGTTTCCCATCCGAAACATTTTTTCAACTGATCTAAAATTATCACTGCAGCAGTTAACAAAAATTGTGAATAGATAAATCAGCAAGATTAAAGAAAGTCGCGATGTCCGGATTTCCATCAAGTGAAATGACGGATCGGTCATGATTTGGTTTTGTGCGAAAAAAGCGAAAATTATTCGTTTAATCACACTTTTGAATTCGAAGCACAGCCACCGATATAATTATAGAAGTTTTTCGTTAAAGAAAATGTGGCTAACGGACTATACATTAATTAAACTAACTGCAAATGAAAGAAAAAATTTGACTTTATCATATGTGTTATCATGAATAAATGCGAAAATACCACATACGTACAGTACTGTAATACCAAACACATTGTAATGAGGCAGAAAGATGTATGCATGCATATTCCTTTATTAATTTGGAATAATGAATAACGATAATGTATTGTATAATATATATTGTAAATTGTATATACGTATCGGATATCGATATCGATATCGATATATGGGCAGAAACGACAAAGGACTGGCGTACAAATTATCGTTATTGTTTATTCGTAATTAGGGAGTAACAGTATTTTACGTGTGTGCCTTTTTCTTTACTTTCCGCCGAAAGAAATTAAATTGTCGCCAATGTCATGGTTGCGTGTTAAAGCCAGTTAGACAAGCCCGTGTTTTAATTTTTTAAAACAAATACAGTACATGTATCGGTATGTAACTGTGGATCATGAGTATTAACGTTAAAGTTATGCAGTATGATGAAGAAACAACGATAAGGTTAAAAAAGGGAGGTAACACCTGATAATGCAGATTCTAAAAAGTTGTGTGAGCGAATTTTTTTGTGTTGCTTACGTACATACTTATTTACATCAATAAGGTTTTTAGCAACACACATTATTTCATAGTATACCGATACGTCCATCTCTTTCAATCGTTCGTTTGTTTTAGCTTCGGTGGTTTCTCTTTCTGAATTTTTTGTCTTTTATTAATTTTTAAAACCAACTAAAGACATACACACACACATAAATAACATCGAAACAATGGAGGCCAAGAAAATTGCGGATCTTAGAAGAATATGTCAAGGTATGTGTTTGATTTCTTTATGATGTATTGTTTTGGTGTTTGATTTTCGAGAGGCTTTAGAAATGCGTGTATTGGTAATAAAGCTCTTTAATTATCAAGTTTACGGTAATATTAATAAGAAAACTTTATCAATAATAGAGTGGAATATTTCCGCGACTGGCAATAAGGCGACTTTGTTGGAACGTATAAAACAATTTGAGCTACAACAGCAACAACAAATCCCATTAAAACAAGAGGAGGATGATGATCTTAATACTTTAAATCATAATAGTAATAATCTCAATAACAACGGCAATAATAAGTTATTTATTGAAGAGAAATCAAGGTCTTCTATTGCTAGTACTCCTGTAATGACAACTGATCCTCATCATCATATACGTTCACATTCCTTAACTCCACAAATTGATCCTCAAGAAGCGACCATATCGATGGATCTTGATGATAATAGTAATGCCAATAGTACCAATGATAACACAGATAATAGTCATAATCATAATCATAATCATAATCACAATCACAATCATAATCATAATCATAATCATAATCATAATCATAATCATAATCATAATCATAATCATAATCATAATCATACTCATAATGAAGATCAAAGTAATGGTAATATTGGTGATAATAATCATAATAGCAACGACGACCTCATCATCAATTTCAAGCGTGAAGAATCAATTAGATCCGATTCATCCGCATCAACAATAGCAACTCCAAGATCACCTTTATTGCAGCAACCACAACAAACCACATCGTCACCGTCACCAATGTCCATAGTAGAACAACAAAAAAGTGACATCAAAAAAGAAATACCATCTTCTGAATTGGAACCCTATAATATATTTGAATCGATGACTCTTGAACAGGCTGCTGAATTCTTTCAACCAGACTCTGTTCAGATTATCATTGATCGAAAACATTTGGTGACTAATACAAACATCAATAATCCTAATAATGCTAATAACATCTTCACCAACAACAACAATATCATGAATAACAATCCTGCTGCGTCATTGATTGGAGTTGGAGGCGTAACAAGTATTCATCAATATCAACAGCCACCATTCTCAAGATCAACAGGTGGCGTAGTAAATACTGGCCGGGGACTAATTACCTCGGCATCATCATCCTCGTCGTCGTCGTCGTATAAATACGATCAACTATACGACGTGGTGACTAACCGATTCATCTATTCGGATGGTGAGGTTCCGTGGTGGTTGGAAAATGACTGTGACACTGCATTCTCTGCCATGAGGCAACCTGGCTTGTCGGAAGATAATATAATCACCATGAGGCAATCTGGTTTATCGGAAGATAATGTTATAACTGGCGAGTAGCTGTCATTAGAACTTTTTGATTAATGGATTCGGGTTTTTATTCCCTTTCTTTAAATAGAGGATGAATAACCCTTTTTTTGATCACTATTAAAAATCAAAGATCAATTAATCAATAATCAGCTTCAATATACCGAAAACGTAAATCTTTTTTTCTCTTGTTTCAGCATTTTTTTTGTTATACTAATAGTTATCAATTAATTGATCCAAAAGTACACGACAATTCGATTTGAATGATTAATCAATTGATTTTTTTTCTCTTTCTCTTTCTCTTGTATTATAAAATTTTTCGTTTTTTATTTTACTCTGATTTTTGTATATTATCATTATTAAAAAGATAAAGTAAAAATAAACTATAGCCGTCTCGATTGTTCTTATTATCATTACGTATGTCATTATGCACGTCGAGACATGTGACACAATCCGATTCCAATCGCTCTTGATTATCCAAGTATATATATATATACACCGTAGACTAATGATTCTGCTTATTAAATACATGTAATTAGTCAATGCTACATATGAATTCTTGTATTTCTTCCATTTTATTATTCGTGATTATTTTTTGCTGATTAAAGAGATGCACATTTAAATATATTTTGCTAGTGTTTAGCTGTTATGTCTATTGGACCTATAATTGTAATATACGTATAGAGTTACCATCGCCTAACACTGAAATCTTATTCGCGTTGTACATGTATATTTATGCGATTCGTTACAAAATTAAATACAAATTAATTTTGCAAGTTTTACATATCGATATCAATATGTAAACACAGAATTCAAAAATCTTGTATTTTCCCTGATTACGTATTTGTAGTACATATCGGAACGAGAACTTTGAAAATGTAACATGTTCGTGTAACGGTAATGAATCACCGATCGATTCAAAGAGGAGAGATAAAAAACAACGATATTTAAAACCCGCTGAATCTGGATATAATTATTACAGTTATAAGGAACATGCAATATAATGAAATTCGCATTTAACGAAAAAATTTATCCCCAAAACAAAATATATAGGGAAAACTTACTAGCTATATTGAAAAAACTTGTTATATTGAAAACAACCATTTCAACTATAATAAGCTTTGCTTGTACGTTCAATTCCAACTTGCTGAATGTTATCACTACGGATCTGGAGCATGGTCACGGTTCTTAATTATCGTTGTGCTTTTACAAGGACATGTACGAAACATTGGATGAACAAAAACGCAATGGGATTATATTTTTTGATTATTACTTTGATTGTTCTTTAATATGAGAAAATGTTACCTGGTTTATCCCATCGCTATCGCTATTATAAACCGAATAAAAATAATATGCATTTTATTTTTTTCAGACATGCGAACAAGATTGTGTTTAACGTTAACACGGGCATTTTATAGAGAATCGATAAACAAACTCAAGAAATAATTGAAAATATTTAAGTGATAACTCGCAAATTAAACGCTAGCACTCCATCAAATGCTCAATTAACATTAGTCATCAAAGACGAATACATTTTGCAAAAATTTTAAGCTTATTTCCTCTTTAGCAGAAACAACTTTGGTCAACGATTATTATTAGTTTTAAATAATTACCTAATATACAGTAAACCGGAGAGTTTTTTCAAATTACTTTTTAATGGTGGATAAATGAATAATAAAATTTTGAAACGCATTTATTGAAAGTACACAACGAGTATTTTTAAACTGGTTATTTTAAGTATTGGTTTTTTGTAAAATCCGAATTTAAAACCGCTTTGGGATTTTGACAGAGTAACAAATTCTGTTTTTAAAAAAACAATCCGTTTCAAACACTGGAAGTCGCAATTCCTTATTAAGACACAATGTGCTTGCTTATAGTTAAATAAACAAAGAAATTCTTTTATAATGTGTATTTACTAATGTATTTTTCATGGTTCCTAAATGAAAGTACTGTCGGCCTATTAAAAGATCCCTTATAAGTCGAGGCGAGCAAAAGTTTCCTCGTATAGTGCATGTATGGATGGCGGAGCTCCACTGACATAAATACATAAATAAAATAAACAAATTTTTGCGACAATTGCAAAAATCATTAATGCTATTCATGAAATGTTCAGTCTGGAATTAGCAGCTTACGAATTCAAACATACGTATATATATATATATATATATAGATAAACAACGCGCAGTAATCAAGAATACAGATCGAATACGTTAAGCTAACGTCTAACACAGTTACGTATTAGTATTAGAGATTTTTTCTTGTTAGTTTGTCAAGCATTTTACTTCATATTAAGGAAGACGACGAAAGATACTTTATTGTTCATTTATTGCGAATATGGTGCTTTAATTAAAAGATGCTTCGCCGTGTTTATTGAGCAGTTTGCAAAAAAGTCCGTCCAGGCGAAAGAACATGCTCAACTCCTTGAAACACTCTAATCGAGATCTATCTTATTGGGCTCATTTGAGATTAGTAGGTCGTTATGTATGTACATAATATCTACTCTTCGGGAGAAAAATATATACCGATACTGTGTAAAAGATCTACTACCGCTACTGGTTTTGTGGTAGTGGTGGTGTCATGTATTGCCTCTTTAGTGTTCTTATTAACGTCGGAACCCGAAAGAAAGTACATATACATACGTATTTCCATAAAAGGAAAGCAGTGTTGTCGTTCTTCTTTTCTCTCTTGTCCTGAGAAGAAAAAGAAGAAAAAACCTCGTATTCAGGTAAATAAAGAGAACTTCAGTTTCATTATCTTATTCCAAATCCAATTTGCGGAAATTTATACTTTTTTGTTTTTATCCTTCCCCGAAACCCACTAAAGCGACAAATGTCGGTTGTTTTAAGGGCTGATGATTGGGATAAATAAAAAATCATCGCCATTTTATCATCACCATTGATCAACCACATTAACCAACCAAAGCCCGTTAAATTGAAGCAACTTGATATAAATGATGACGATGATGGTACACTAAAAATGCAGCTCCTATCCTGCATTAAATGTTTATTACTTAGTTGCTGCTATATCATCATCACCCATAACTAATAACATCCATCCTTTTGTTGTTTATTTTTTTTGTTAGTTGTATTCTTATCATCATAAATATCACCAACACTGTTGCAAAAAAATATTTTCTTGAACCTGAAAGTTCCCTGTTGTTTTTTTTTGTTGACTAGAGGATATTTAGTATAGGTAAAATTTCTCTTGGAATAAGGAAATTGATGCTCTAATATTACTTTGAAAATGATTTTCATACTTTATTTTATAGGATTATTATTTTCTAATATATTCCGATATGGATGTCGATATTTTAATGGATATCTCTGCAGAAAGCAGTACTAGCAATAATATTTCAGCACCACCACAAACAACAGATATCAAGATGTCCAATGAAAATATCAACACTAATAATACTATCGTTGATGATAATAACAACAATATTAACAATAACAACAACAACAGCAACAACAACGATAATATTAGCAATGTTATCAATGATACAGTAGGAACAGTTGAACAACAGAAGCAAGAACCGCAAGAGCCGCAAGAGCCGCAAGAGTCGCAAGAGTCGCAAGAGTCGCAAGAGTCGCAAGAGTCGCAAGAGTCGCAAGAGCCGCAAAAGCCGCAAGAGCCGCAAGAGTCACAAGAGCCGCAAGAGCCGCAACAACAGCGTCAACAACAGCATCAACATCATCAGCCAGAACAGGAACCGATAAAAGAACAGCATCAGCAGCAACAACAAACACAAGAAGTACCTGAAAACCTAGGAGCGAGTACAGCATCACCATCACCTCAACCACCTCCGCCACTACCACCACAACCAACAACCTTTCAAGCGTTTCCAACGAAAAAAATATTTGCAGACTACCAGAAAAAATTCGAATATGTGAGTTCGAAATAGAATAACCAAATGCCTTTCAATCATTCATTATCAAAAAAAATTGATTTCTTTTTTTTTTACCAGATATCTAGAGCATGCTTAGAACTCGCAACCGGATTTCAGCATCTACGAGAGGCCATCGACAATTTACAAGATAATAGCTTCTTAGGCGGCGGCGGAGGGGGTGTGGGATTTGGCGGTTTTCAAAATGATTATGGGAATATTATGAGTGACTTAGCGAATTTTATGCCATTGAAGCCTGGAGGAGGGTTTGGTGCTTTTATGGGTAATCCACCACCGCCTCACCCGAATTTCTCTCATAATCCGCCGCCGAATTTTTATCAATTTCCTGATATTTGGGATAGAAAATCAGTATATCAACAGCAGCAGGAACTGCCACAATTTATCGATTTCATGAAGCAAGAAGAATATAATGGAAACTTTCCTTTTAGTAATAATAGTAATTATTCTAGTAATTTCAATCTTAATCATAGTAGCAACAATAGCGCAAATAGGAATTCTAATCTTCATTCACTCAGTCATCATCCATATCAACGCAATCCCTCTTCATCGCGCCAACACCAACAATCTTCATTGCAATCAAACAATAATCTCAGTAACGGTAACAGCGACCGAAAAGGCAAGCAAAAAGTGACGTCTAGACGTAGGTCTTCCTATAACGCACCTGCTAATGCCTTTTCCGCATACACTGAAATCGCATTCCAGCGTAACGACACTGGCGTCTGGTCTGAGAAACAAAGACGTAAACTGAACGAAGTTTTCATTCGTTACTATGAACGAAGAAAAGAATTCGAGCCAATCTCTTATGGGAAATTAGCCGACGAACTATTGGAATTGTGTAGCAATGGCACGCCAAGTATCACGCATCTCGATAAACAACTTGGACGGTATTTGATGGGATATTCGGTGTCAAAAGATCCGGTGGTGTTAGAAGCGATTCAGGCTTGGATTGAAAAGGAAATTCAGATCCATGGCGCATTGTGAGAGGGGAAGTTCGTGTTAACGTTAATATGAGATGAAATAAAGGTTTAGCGTTATCGTTGGTATTATCATTTAATAGAGCAGAAAAATATAAATATTTATTTTTTCAATCTTCATTAGAAATAATAATTTTCATGCTTCTTAAGAATTGTATCAAAAATTTGACAGTCAAAAAGTACGTATATCGATATTGAAATAAAAGATTGAAGATAAATGAGGAAAAATATTTTATTTACACTTTTTTTCCAGGATTATAACAAGTTTTAATTCGTAAACAAAAAATCATCTTTTTGCAATTACTTTATCTTCGATATCAACGTAAACTGCTGCATTCCGTTATTATTCTTCAAATTTATGGAATAGCAATATTAATACGTAGTAACCCACCTTTCTATTCTTTGAAAAAAAATCACAATCTTTAATAAAAAATACTCTAGAAAATACATGTACGTATTGTGTTATCGTTATCGTTATCGAGATATAACAAATCGAAATTAACTAACAAACAAATAATCTTTTTTTTTTCAACGTCAAGCAGAAGAAATAGACTATCTGCTTACCGTTACATAACGATAAAAGTCAGAAATAAACATAAACAGTTTATCAAGAAATTGATAACTTTTCAATTCAATAACCACAAAAGTTGGTCCTTTGTTTTCGCACATATTTGTATCGAATCCATCAAGGCTACCATGTAACAATAAATTATAATTATCTTGTTGATTTATTCATTCACTTTTTTTGACTGTTGAGAAGATAAAATTATAATTCATTGACTAAGTCAAAAACAAATGATAGCGACAGCGATAGTGGAATAACTTTAGGCAAAATTTTCAAATATCGATATGGGATTTGACTTGATTGGATCTGAAATGCGTACGTAATCTGTCTGGTCAGCACAAATTTATACTCAATTACGAGTTGGAGAAATTTTTAGTCTTGGGATTTTTATGATTTTTTTCGAGTAATAATCCATACGTAATTGTTGGTAACCTAACGTAAAATTGATTGTTTCATTTATAAAGTGAAACATGATCAATTCGTCTCGCTCAAACGCAACAAAGTATGGCAATTGTGTCGCCAACATCAATGGATGGACTAAAAATGATTTTGTGCGTGTGGTTCTTCACGGAGACGTAAATATCTGAGTTTTCAACAAACCTATGGTGCATAAATCTAAAGTCATCAAACGTTTGTATTTTATAAAATGGATAAACTTCTTTACCAAGAAGTAAATACAAAATTTAATCCGTGAATATGATGGAATAGGCCTTTTCTGAGCATATTCACGGATTAAATTTTGTATTTACTTTTTAGTAAAGAAGTTTATCCATTTTATAAAATACAAACGTTTGATGACTTTAGATTTTATGCACCATAGCTGGATGAATATAAGATAAGCAATTTTGGTACAAATTAAAAAGAATCATGTACATAGTTATTACTTTAAATAGATCTGGAACTTTTTATAGAAAAATGTGTGACGCTTCAATTCTCTTTAAATACATGTACAGTACATATACGTAGTGACAATGAAGTTTGTTAAGAATTTGAACTTACTTCTCTAGGTCTAATTAAGAATTGCGACTGCTGCATTATTGATTAAATAAGATCCAACTGATCGAGAAGGGACTTTATCATCTAAATACAAATGAATGAGGCAAATGATATAAATCAAACATAAAATACAATACAATACAATACAAAGAAAATTACATGCCTCCTTTTTTTTTTGTTTCTGTTCTCGAGGAGTTGGTAGAGTCCATTGACTTTCGTTTCTAACAGGAAGATTAAACGGCGTCCAATCCACAGTTTTTAGATCTTGGATGTATTCCGATTCTTTCTGTGCAGGTGCTTCTGGTTTTTGTGATTGTTGTGGTAGTGATGATTGTTCTTGTGGTTGTTTAGATGAATTAGATTGATTGTCGTTGTCCAAATTTACAAGGACCATGTTTTCTTTAACAAATGTGTTATTGTAGAAAACGTAAGATGATGAGACAGCCCCAGATCTTGGACTTTGTACTATAGCTCGCACCGGAAATCTCACCTATATTGAAAAACAGTTAACGAGTTTTTAATTAAATACAATTGATCGTATCTTACTTCTCTATCGAGATTAGCGTCGATAAAATTATCGTGACTGCAATCTGACTCGATCAGTGGCTGGTTAAAGTTCACCGTTTTTGTTCGCATGCAAACAAGCATTACTCGATAAGTATTTTGTAATTGAAAAGAATTATTTGTAAATAGAGATAATTACTTTATTTTTTTCTACACATTGGTATAACTCTTCATGAAAAGAAACCACTGCTTTATTAGTAGAGTCAATGATTTGATCTTTCATTCTGTGTTTCTGAGCAAGATTTGTTGTGGTAATTGGACTATTTTCCTCTTTCTGATGGTGAAATCCCACAGAAGATACATCGCTATTTAGATTACTCGAGTCGTTCAAATTACTATTATCATTATTATGATCATGATTATTCTGAGTTGGTTTGAGCGTGCTTGAATTCAGATTCCTTTGTTTTGGCGTATTCTTTTGTTCCAACCCTGCGATTTTATTTTTATCTT